TCAGTACTTGCAAGTTTAACCTTCGTTCAGCATTTCTTTGTAAATTACTTGGACTCTTGTGATATGCAGGATGCAGATGAAACTATCCACACAATTGATTATTGTGTTAGTACCACTTTGTCATTATGATGGTTAGCTTCAACTTCATATACTCTGATTTTCATGTATACCATCATAATTTTCTCAAATGTTACTCTTGTATATGGCTGAAGTATTGTTCAATTTAAGATGCTTTCAGTATAATCAATTTTGTTAAAATAAAATGTCGATGAAAATGATGTCCACTTATTAGGTCTTTATTTCAAGATGTCTGAAACATTTATTTTGTTTCATTTCTTGATCTTTTTTACTATTTTCAATCATGTATAAGTCAATGATTTACTTTTGTATATTGCTAATTTTTTGCTTGCTTGGTCTGGAATGATATAACCTAATAAGTTTTTCTGTATGTTCAATAAGGAAAAGTCTATCCCAGTGTAGTCACAACAAATATTGAGTTGATATAATTCACGAGAATTCAACACATTTAAAGTTCAAAATAATCGAACCCTGTGCATTGCATAGGCAATAGACTAGTAATAAAAAAGATGCCCTTTAAATACACTATTAAAGAAGAAAAAAAATTAAGCGCACGTTTAAGCCCCATTTTGGCTAAGAATGTATTTTAGAATAGTAGATTGAAGGATAAAAAATAAATATTTTTTTGAGTTTTCGTGTTTTCATTGAAGAATGTGTGATTAAAAAGAAAAAAGAGAAAAATGCATTTTGGAAATAATGAGAATCAAACAAATGCTAAATATTTTGTTCATTATCAATGCAACGCGAAGCAAAAAATATTCGAACACAAACTACAGGTCTAAAAATATGTTCTAATATTTGAGCACAAAAAATATTTGTTGGAGCAGTTGGTCGCTGAAAAATAACATAACCAAGTGAAAAAAAATATGCATCAAGTGTATTAGCGACCGAGTTATTGTTGGTTGCAGAAAACTAGTACAAGCGACCATATAGTGCTCGCTGGAAGGGTCTAATACTAGGGATGGTAGCTCGAAAATGCAAAGACAAGGTGAAAAAAACATTACAGTTGGTTACATAAAACTAGTACAAAAATCCCAAAATCAAGTGAAAAAATTGTGCCAAATGTATTATGACCAAGCTACTGTTGGTCGCTGAAAATTAGTACTAGGGGTCTCTTTCTTGCTATATGGTCCCTAGAGGGATCGCACTATCCTTTAGCGAGCAATAGAACGACCAATAGAATGTATGTTTCTTGATACTCCGAATCAACAATCAAGGATTGGTCGCAAACAAGCATTGTAAAATTAGTCCAATTATAACGTACCAAAATCTCTACCAACCAATATTTGGTCAGTAGACCCCCCCATTTTGATTTTGATTTTGATTTTGTTTTTGTAGCAAGAAATTCCACAAATTTATAAATGTTCATTAAAAGAATAATCTAGAGCTGTCAATTGATTGGATTTTGATCCGAACCAGATCCGAATCCGACGAAATTAACGGGAGATGGATTTATGGTCTCAATCCGATAACCCGATCAAGATCCGAATCCGATAATCCGTTAACTAAATAGATCAAATATGGATATATGTCAAT